CGACAGTCTGTAGAGTTTTCCATCTGGTGTGGGTGAGTGATAGTCTACTTTGATTTTGGTTAAGGTAGATTATCATTTACAGTGTAATCAGTGAGGGGATTCTGCAGACTGTTGAGGGTTCAGCTTCCTGATGAGTCGGTGAAACTCCGACGAAACAGTTTGTCACAGCCCCTCGTTTGTTGTCCTCTTCTCTCTCTCTGCCTACGGTTTTACCGGGCAGTTCTGTTTGTGACGATATATATATACATATATACATACATGAGCGTATATACACACACATCTATATATATATATATATGTATCCATTTATGTATGAGCATTACCTTGGGCAATTGGGTACATACCTGCATAGAAACTGATATACATATGCATGCCTAAATACCTCCCCAATCTATCCAAGCTTTCGTATCGTAGCTGAGTTTACCTCTTCTCTAACTCGGAACTTCTTCAGTCTAGATCCTTAGACCCAGTCCTTCCTTGGAGCCCCATTCATCTCTTCTAGCTCATATGCCCCATGAAGTCCATGCTTCCTGACTTTGAATGGTCCCAACCACCGTTTGTCCATTTTCCGCGACCACTGCATTTCCAGAGAGGAATCGTAGAGTAGTACTGTCTCGCCAACTTGTAGAGGTTCGAGTCTTACTCTAGGTAGCTTGTCCTACCTTTCCTTATCCTTTTCCCTGCTGTCTGCAACGTTCATGGCCGCTTCCTGCACCCTTTCTTCAGTGGCGCTGATCTGCCTTGCCCTTAGATCTAGCAGTTCCTCCAAAGTCAAGTCATTCTCCAGGTCCTGCCTGCGCCAAGTTTTCAGGAAACTTTCAATAGGAAATGTGGCGTGACGCCCATACCAGAGTGTCGCAGGTGCATACCCGGTCGTTCTCTTTACATTGATGTTCTCCACAAAGAACACTATTCTTAGGAACTTTGGCCAGAGGTTCGGCTTCCCACTGGTCCATTTGGCCAATAAGTTAGTAATTGTACTACGGCCTCTCTCGACCGGTGCATTCGCTTGTGGATGAACCTAAGTCGTATAGTTACCTATGACCCCCAGTTCCTTGAGCAGTTCCTTCACTTCCCCACACGTGAACTCAGACCCCCTGTCCATCGTGAATTCCAATACGAACGGATATATGAGATAATACTCTTTAATGCAATCTGCCAGCGTTGCCCTGGTCTTATTCCTGATCGCCTGTCATCAATGAATCCAGTAAGGTTGTCCCTTGCGTCGAATATATAGTTATATCCTCCAAGACCTAGAGGCATAGCCAGTAGGTCCAGGTGAACAACCGCCCCTACTTCCTTGATATGTCTAGGATGCAGAGGTTCCTTGTACCTGATAGGCGATCGTATTTGACAAGGCACACATGACTCACAGTACCTTCGTGTCATCTCAAACATTCTTTCCCAATAGTAGAGCTCCATCGCCTTCTTGTAAGTATTCGCGAAGCTCCGATGTCCCCCGACTATCCCATCATGCAACGCAGCTACTACGTCAATCTGGCGATTCCTCCCACATACGACATGTCGCGGCGGCCTCCTTTTATCCCTTGAGAACAAGTGGCCACCTCTTACCACATAGTGGTCTCTCATCCTGAGAGTCTTTTAACTCACTTCTCTCTCTCTTTTATCTCCTGAGAGGAGCAACCCCATTCCTAAATAGAATCCTTCATACTCCTCTTCCCTGAATTCCTCTGAAATCTCCTCTTGTTCAAACTCTCCTTCCTTCTCTTCATCGAACTCGTAATCATCCCCAATAACTATTTCATCGACCTTCACTATTCCTCTTTCATCATTCGCTTGGACTTACAACAACGAATTTGTCAGGTAGTACATTGTTCCCATCATGGTTACCTGCTCGTATGCCTGTTGGACTCCTGCTTCGATCGTTAATGACTCATCCATTATCCTATAATTTTCTGCTAGAGCGAACTCCATCATCCACTCCGTATTTCTTTCTCCCCAAGAGTCCTCTTCCTCTAATGGTGTGAGTATCAACGAAGGCTCTCTCATAAATTTTTGCGGTGGATGCCACATTGAATTTTATCTCCTCATCTCCTTACTTTCGACAAACATGAACCAACAGTTCACATGAGTTCGCATATCTTCTCCTTCCTCCAAAAATCCGTCTACCGGAGGCGTCTCTTCATTAGATTCTCCCTGGTTTCCCCACTCAAATCTGCTCATGCCATCCGCCCTGTTCTTGTTCTTAGGGATCCGTTCTAATTGAAAGTCGAACATCCAGATATAGGTGAGTCATCTGGGTATGGTCGGATCCGAGGGCGAGAAGTTCTTGAGCGAGTACACAAGCGCCGTTGGATTGATCCTGAGTACAAACCTCCTTCCAAAGAGGTAATGCCTAACGATTCTTAGGCAATGCAGGACCGCCAAGGCTTCTCTTTTAATCTACGAGTAGTTTCTTTCTGCCGAGTTGAGTGTCCGACTTTCAAACCTCAGCGGGCTCTCCTTTCCTTCACTGTCTGCCTGAATCAAGACGCCTCCCAGGGCGGTTGGTCCAACGTCAGTTTCAACTATGAAGGGTCTTTCCATAGTCGCATCAAAGTCTGGTACCCCTAGTACCAGACCTCCTTCTCTGAATTCCTTCTTCAATCCTTCCACCACTTCTTCTTGATGGTTTCTCCATTCCCATTCTTGATCCTTTCATACCAATTTCCTTAGGTGCTCTGTTTTGCTAGCAAATCTTTCTATGAATCTCCTCCAGAACCCACAGGTACCAAGGAAACTTCGAACTTCACCCACATTTATGAAAGGAGTGGGTCATTCTAGGATTTTATTGGTCTTCTTCTTATCAGGGCGCCGACCATGCTTGTTGCAAATATATCCTAGAATGGTCACCTCCTTCACGCAATGTCTTGACTTCACACCACTGGCTGTGAGGTTGTACTCTTCTAGTAATGTTAGGACTTCTCTCAGCCCTTGAACATGCTCCCATATAAACCTCCTTACCCCCGGAGCCACCTCTGACTCATCCTTCTCAATCGGACCCTTAACTGCAAGATCATCTATGTATGGCTCGGTGATCTGAGGGCTGATTGGTTGCATAACCCTGATCATGCTTCGTTGCACCATGGCCACAACATTGGTCCATCCTTGCGGCGCAACATTCATATGGACCAACCCCCTTGGCGTGTGCATCGCAGTGATGGAACAGTTTGTCGGATAGACCGAAAACTGATCATATCCAGAGTAGAGGTCGATGAGTGAGACAATCGACCTCCCTGCACAAGCTTCTGACAACTGGTCAGCATTGGGTAAACCTCCTGCATCCCTTACAATTACCGCGTTCATTCGTTGGAGGTCTTGCACCCATCTGAGAATTTCATTTGGCTTTACAAAGCAGAACCATCGAGACGCGTACGGTCCACTGGAATATCCTGCAACATCCGTACGGATTTTTCCATCTAGGTACTCTACCACCCTTCTGCGATCCTCGGGGTTGGGGTACTTAGCTACTTGGACATTCCATGGTTCATGAGGCACCGTATGAATGCGGATCATTTCGATCTTGTCCACATCCAGCCTCCCACGTTGATCATCGTTGAAGGCATATGCCCTATGTTTCTCACGTATCAGTTCTTTCACCAAGTCCTCCTCTTGCCTTGTCAGAAACCCAGATTCCCCTATTATTAGTTTTTTCTCAGTCTCATCTTCGATACGACAAGGCCCATTCTGGATACCTTCCCTCATTCGCTGTATCAGTTCTCTTTCCTGATCATAATACACCCCTTCTTTCTGACTCACTAGAACTGGCACAGGGTGACTCTTCTTGTCTACCGTTTTGTACCTCCTTTTGGAGCCCTGCTTGAGCCCATCCCTAAAAAATGATGACCGGCAGCTTGAGCATTTTGGCGCATGCGGCACTATTATCTGAGAAGAAGGAGGCGGTCGGTAAACGAGATCGACCCTCCCCCCTTCTGGATCGTCTTGAATCCTTTCTGCGAGTGCCCTGACTGCGTCCGGATCAGCCATCCTATAAGCCGATACCAGTTCCACTGCATCACTGATGTTAGTTAGGCTTAGTACAAACCCTTTAGCTTCCTCATCATCTGACTCTTCCTCTCCGTCTTCCTATTCTAGTTCTCTCCGCCTATTCTCAGACTCCTCGAATGTGTAGGATCCGACATTGAGTCTGTTCTTCGAGCTGTGTGGGCCGGTATTCCTACATGTGATCACCTTAAAGTTCCCACAGGCAGGATCGCACAGGATGACAAACATGGTGTCGTCGTGCTTGTTCATAATGAGCGACTCCGATCTGCACAGGAACGACCTTCCCAATAATATTGGAAGGTCCAAGCTGGGCATGACGTAGAAACACGTACGTATTTTGACTCTTCCTATCTCTATCACCACATTCGACGCAACTCCCATGTACCCGGTCTTGCCGCTGGTTCCATTAAGAAATCCGCAGTCGTTTTCATCTACCTCCAGTCATGGTTTTACTGTCGTTTCTCCGTTTATAATATTCATTTCTGCCTCGGTGTCAACCATCCCAGGACACATCTTCCCCTTTATCATAACATCTATGGATCCTGTTCCCATGAACTTCAAGTCCATTTTGCTTCCTGCCACGCTCCAGTTTGCCTCTTTGGGAATCAGGTCCCCCATCCTGACCGAGGCCACTCTCCGGCGTGATAACCTCGCCTTCACCATTTCTCTTAACTTAGGAGCCGAAGCTATAATTTCTTTCAGATTTAGCAATTCATTGTGACCTTCTAGTGGCTTATTTACCAGACCTTCCAGGTTTACCCCTTCTTCGATTGACGTCTGATACTTTCTCTTTTTACCTGGCGCTTCGTCTTTTCTGGTCCTTTCTTCTTTAACTTCACCTTTCCTTCTCTTAACCCCGATTTCCGCCTGCCTCTCTTATTCCTCCCTAATCTTCTCATCTTCATCTTCGTCACCCTCTACCATGATAGGTGGTTCTTCCTTTGCAGGCTGGGAAGTCTGGGCTTGCTCCTTTGGAGGATTCCCTCTTGCGGGTCTTCTTGTAGCGAACGGAATCGTTCCTCTTACGCTTCTTTGTCCCCCACTGTTCTTTGCGGCCATGTTGGCCCTCAACGTTCTTGGGTTGGGCTCATTTGGCCCATCTCCCGATCTTCCACGTCCCATGGTAAATACTTTCGGGCATCCTACCCGTTCTTTCCTGGCTTCTTCACATATCCCTTGAAGCCTCAGATGTAGTCTATGCATTTTGTTTACTAAGTATTTCATCCTATCAAACGTCTCCCTGAAGCCAACCCTAACGTCTTCCTCCTCCGCTTCTTCTTCTACAAGTGGCACATCTTCCTCGCCCTCTCCAATCCCCATTCTACTCACGTTTTTTTCCAAGTCAGTTATATCCTCTACTCATACCACTGGTCCTTCCTTTTCTTGCCACATTCTGAACATTCCCGGGGCGTTGGGACCTAGTGCAGCTATGCGAAGGGCCTTTTCTCTAGTGCCTCCCGGACTCTCAGGATCGATCGCCCTTCCTGTTCTGTCAAACACCTCGCCATCTGTGTTTGATGTTATGAGTCCATCTCGCTCGTCAAGTTTCCTAACGTGGCATCGCTTTACTGTGTGTCCCTTGATTCCACAGTGGGTACAGATGCATTCGCTGTAGACTATCCATCCTCTGCCAAAACCCTGTCCGTTCCATGACCCATTTCCTCTACCAAAACCCCCTTCATAGCCTTGGTCGTAACCACGACCATACCCCTGCTGGTATTCTTGCCCTACCGGATTCGCACCCCCTTGGAGCTGTCCCCAATTTCCACCTTGATACCCACTTCCTCTATTTCCTGCTCCTCGTTCCCCTGGTCCTTGATTCCTACCAACATTCCTACCTCTTCCACGTCCTTGTCCTTGTCCTTGTCCTTGGGATCTGTTCTGGTTTTGTCCTCCTTGGCGACTCGATCCTGGTTGGTTCTGTCCGGTTAGTTGGAGTTGCCCCGTGTTTTGGTCTCCTCTCAAATTCTGATTCTGAGGTAACATAGGATACTGACCCTGCGTAGGCCAGGACCCTATTGGGAAGTACCCAGGCCATGCTCCCATCGGCGGACCCACGGGCCATTGACCACATCGAGCTGTGCTCGTTGACGGCTCCTGTCCATACTGGACTATCGCTTGTTGAGTTACTTGTCCTTTTCCTGACCCTTGTCCTCCGATAGCGATATTTTTAGCCTTCCTCTGACACTTGGTCAGTTTGCCCGTTCCTTCTGGTTCTCCATCTTCGGCCTCTTCCTCTGCATCTTCCTCTTCCTTTCTTCTTTTTCCTGATGGTTGTGTCAATGTTAACACTTTCGATGGTGTCACTCTTTCCCTAAGCTTTTTTATCTCATTTGCCATATTGCTCAGCACTCCTCCTAGTACACTATTCGTTTCTTGGATCGTCCCTACTGCCTTTCTTTTCTTTCGTTCGACCTTGATTTGGTGATGGAACACTTGGTCCATGTCTCCCGCCGCGATGTTCCTCTTTATGGTTTCCCAAGTTGTCTTTCTCCCGGCGGCTCCCCCTCGGGTTAGTTCCATCGCCTCATACCCTGAGAATTTCCTAGGAATATGACGCACTACATTTCTTTAGACAGCTCTAGGACCCTCTCGCCTGTCTTTTCGAACGTGCTGGCGAACGCCCTGATCGTGGTGAAGTCATCTTTGTTCATGTTATAGAGATGGTCAATCATGAGCAGGCCATCTCCTAGCTTAAACGTCTTCTGCATGCCCCTTTTAAACTCAGCCCAATCATTGTTGGACTTTCTCACTACCTCTTCCACGTCAGAGGTGCATTCCCACCATACATACTCGAACAACTGGGCGAACTTCTCGGCCGGTGTCAATTGGTTGAAGATTTGCTCAAGTAGTTCTAACCAATAAGTGACCCTATCCCCTTTGAAAGGGAATATGTCTATCCTCGGTAGTTAGATCTCTTTATCATTCTTTTCTCTAGTAACTTGACGATTTCCGCCGCGGTGATTGGCGGCCCTCCGTTGGCGCTGGCATCGCCCATCTTTTCCCCTTTCTTTTCTTGGTTCCTGCTAGACAGTAGACCCTGTTAAGACACACAAAACGACCATTGATCCACCCTCTTCGTCACTATCTTGACGTATCTTTTACTCTTGTCACTTGTTCCTACCCTATATGACTTTTCATACCCCTTTTCTCTCAACCGAGTATCTCCTCTAGGAGCACCCAGTCCTCGTGCGAAAAACTTAGAACCATACCAAATAAATAAGGGATTTCATATATAAATTATTCAATACATGCCTCCCGGCAAAGATGGCGCCAGTAGGTCAAGAGATCTTCCAAACGATAGATGCGTAGATACGTGTTTCCCACGCATAGTACATTATAGAAATCCCTATCCTTTAGTTTCGGTCTCATTTCTAAGTATAGACGGTAAACAACTTCCGGTGCCTCGAATTCGAAGCCCATCTCTGGAACAGATCAGGATGCGAGTACTGTCCGTTCTATATTCTCAATCCCCCAAAATGCTTCATCAATTATGAAGCTCGGAAGCGTGGTTTTAATGTACCTTATTGGATACACGAACTCAGCGACCCACTTCGCTTCGATTGACTTTATAACCTCTCCTTCTTCTCCCCAATACATCCTCTTTGAAAACACGTCAAGGGTCAATCCGGCTATCAATACGTACTTAGAGACGGGGCGGTTTTCTCCTATCGCAAGATCGATCGCGTGTGCTCTCCAAAGAAGGGCTGGTAGATAAAGGGTCACTTTCACTATTGCCTGCCTTTCCTTTGCGGTCCACCCAGTTTCTATCCAAAGGAAGGTTTCTTGTCCTATCGGTATCCCGCACCATGAATCCATTTCCTCATCCACATCTATTGTCCTCTTCGACAGCGTCATTTTGACTCCTCCTTCCTTTGGATCTGGCAGGTTGATCAGGAAGCTCCGATCAGCGAACCACATTAAAGGAGCCATCTTGGTATACCTGTTACAACAGCCAAAGAAAGGACCTTTCTCTTCTAAGTAACTGCTCGTTTTTTCCATTTCTTAACAATTTTTTATCTCAGTTTTCCTTGAGCACCCCTTCCTATTTGATCGAGGACTCCTTGCTTCAGTTCCTCCCAGTAGACATGCCTATTTTCCCAATCGTACTGACGTGCATATGAGTCGACCCTTGATAGTATGTCTTGAGGATTCCTCCCTTCAATCAAATGCCCTATCTCTAGGTATATGTAGTATACCAGCAGAGGGGTAGCCGCATGATATTCTCTTTTAGGTATCGCCATCGCGGCTTCCGCAGCCCTTTCCACTCGGGGTCTCCCTCCGAAGGCTGCATCTACGATGAACATGGGGAGGGTTCCTCTTAGATATGCTGTGGGCGGAAGAAATTCATCAGCCCTCCTTACCTTTACAGTTCCTATCATTCCTTCAAACCCATTCAAACTTGCATCTCTTCTCCTAGATTCGAGGGCGGATTCTGCTATCCATAATAGTATGGAAAAAAATCGATCAATTCCTAAGACTAAATTTATTATGATAGTTTGCAATTTCTCCGAAGAACGATACAGGGTAACCCTTTCTACTGCGCGATTTTCGCCTCTAACCCATCCAAATCAAAGTTTGTTCTTCTATAGAAATCCCCCAACAATACCCCGTCTCTTCATTCTCCTCATGACGACTTGGCAGGTTCATCATAAGGCCATGCCTCATTTGCACAGGCTCTCTGATCGTGATTTGATATCGGGCAGAAACCATCTTATTTTCTTTGGTATACTCCAACTACTACACAACACAAACCAGCCCACATCCTTCCATCAGTCTTTCAACCCTAGGATGTGGCTAGTTTTTTCCTTTTTATTCCGCCACCTCCTTTGACACCTTTAACCCTTATATAATCTTCTTATACAATAAGTAAGATACTAACCCACAGATATCTAACTGACACAATATAAACATTAGGAGTGATACGCATATCCTCCTATCAGGCGACGCAGACTGCGAAACCACAGGAGGATCAGGTACATGTGGTACTTCGCGGGGTCCTTGTTGGTGAGGCGGGAGGAGGACGGTCAACTGCCTCTCTTGAGACAGAGGGTAGGGACTATGATGCGTGAGACCAAGCAGCTCGAAGCGTGGTGGAAATTCTCCGTAACGCCTCGCGTACCTATATGAATAATAACTCATTTCGTCAGGGTCTGGGGTATGCATGCGCCTCTTATCCCGATACCGTCTCGCCCTCAACCCTTCGTCCTTCTCTTCTAGCCCTTCCTCATCTTCTTTCCACTCCTCCCTTTCTCTAGTTAAGTCTACAGGCCTTTCAGGCGCCTTCCCCTGCCTGCCGCCTCTTCCTCTACTAGTTTCGGTCCCACGGCCCTTAGGTGCCATATTTACTTACTCTTAGTATAAGTAGGACAATTGTACTTATGTGTAATTAGTCCCTATCTTACACACCTGATTTATTTGGACCAACTACCCGTCACTAAATATCCAAGTTACCGTACTCTACTTAGAATCTTAGACAAACCCCTGATTTTTAGTGATTTTCGTTTTGTCAGGATCTTGCCTTACTCGAGTTCGCTCACTAAGGACCTCGGCTAGAAGCGAGATCCCCTGCAACGGCGCCACCTGTCGCGCGCGGCGGTCCCACACCCTAGACGCAAAGTAAATTTTGTGTCGGACCTCACGGTCGTGTCACGAAGGAGTTTTCTTTTTGTCACTTTACGAAATACCAACTCCGACCGTGTGCGCGTGCTACACCTACCGCGACTACCTACGACAGGTTAGGGTCCCTCGAGGTACAACATTACCTCCACCTGCGGGAGTTGTCACCATCCCTTAGGTGGGCGTATCCCTGCTGAGCTACTGACCCACGTACGAAGGCTTTTACATGCAATCGCAGAGGTAGGCCAGCCGAGGGCGTTTTCTCGATCGTCGTAGCATAGGAATACGCGCGGTAGAACGCCTTAAGACTGACCCGTATGTCGTGCCCCGAGGCGCTAACTCCCCGGACCGACTATTAATCAGGTCGACTTTTCTAGGACATTCTTCCATGCTTAACTAACTATGACAATGACTCAATGTTTACTTTGCTCAACATGTGAGAATGTCAGGGTTGATCCCCTTCGTGGTCTCCTATTCTTCTCGAACAGAAGCCTAAACAAATGACTTTCCGATCCAGAACAACTACGATCCCATTCACAAGTATATGTATATATAAATGTATGTATATAAATTAGGGGAGCTAACTGAGCGGTTGACCTCACTCTCACGATTGTCGTGTCCCTTTGCCCGAATTTCTCAGATGATCCCAAACTCAGGAGACAACACAAACGTCCGACACCTGTGAAGATGCAAGACATCACATACAAGCATACAGATGCAGACACAGAATGCGCTATAAGCGTCAACCTTTAATCCATTCATAGCATGCCACTCACGCCCCAAGCCCTTGAAAACAACATTCCTTCCTAACCCTGACTCCTTTTACCCCAGCCCCACACATTTTGAAGACTCCTGAGTGTGATTTGGACAGTTTAAGCATATATACAAGGAGAAGATTTATCTGTTCCTTCTTAGGTCTTGCCTTAGGTGTGGGTGTCAAGCCATAGTGGAACTTGAATCGGAGTTCTACCGACCTGTTATCAAATGATAACAGAATTGGTGTTCTTACGGATGCCCCATAAGTTCTCCGAAGTGTCGAAACCTGTAGACACAACACAGTCCAAGAGAAACTTAACATCTCTCTTCTTAACTGAGATCTAGGAAGTTTCTTTCTAGACTCTGTGTTTTTCTATCCGACTCTTATCCTTAACTAAACGTTTGGATTGTTGCCCTTCCGCTTCAGGTAGTAAATAATAATTCACCCCCCTTTTTACTAACAAAGTAATTCTCCATATTTCTTTCACTATCTCATTCCTATCCCTTTTGGGATTATCCTGTCTGAGTTCCCTTCCTTCACCCAACACACATGAATACATCATCAATCCAACTTGTGGAAAGAATCTCAAGGAAAGAAATCAGACAAATGGATAGTCTCTCTCTGAGGCAATATCTCACTTATCCCCTCTCAATAGAATCAGAGATAGTTAGTTAGGACTAAACAATGCAGATCGTGGAGAAAGTTAGCGGTGGTATGGCAGATCATTCAGGATATATCCACTTGTTACTGAAACTTGTTTGACAAAGGCAAATCTTGTGGGTTTTGGCCCTTGTGAGCCAAAACACACTTAGTGGTAGGATTATCCTATGGCTAGTCACTGATAAGGCAGGTATCCCTGAAACCTCACTACTCTTATATCAGACTAGTCACTGATAAGGAAGAATTTCCCTGCTACTCTTATCACTGGGTAGCCCTTAATAAGGCGGGTGTCCAAGGATCCTTGCTATTCTTATCACTGACTAAGCGCTAGGATGTTTATTGATAAGACAGGTGTCCTTGAAACCTCACTACTCTTATATCATACTAGTCACTGATAAGGCAGGATTTCCCTGCTTCTCTTATCACTGGCTAGCCCTCAATAAGGCGGATGTCCAAGGATCC